AATATAACAAATAAATAAATACATTAAGGTGACAGAATGGGTGACATTTAATGACAACAAACAAACAATAAAATAAAATAAAATAATAATACAATGAAATTTTACATCAAAATATACATATATAAATACAGACATACATAACTTGAATAATTGAATTAAAACGAAGAAAGGGAGGTCCAAAGACAGATGACAGCAGCAAGAAGGCACCCTACATGTCCCTCCCTGAGCGTGGTTCTGTCGGAGGTTTTTTTTCCCCTGCGGGGGTTTTCGGTTCCTTCCCACTGTTGCAGACTGCTTGCGGACTGCTGAAGCTTATAGGGAATCCAGATGTTTTGGATTGTTGGGTGTTTCTGTCTTTGCCTTTGTTAAGCGCTATGTGATGACTTGTTGTTGTAAATATGCGCTATACAAATAAAATTGAATTGAATTGAATTGAATTTACTGTGTCCCGGAGAGGTGGAGGTAGGTATCTCAGGAAGGCTGACCATGTTCTCTCAAATAAACTATCGTCCCCTTTCATTTGTGCAGTAAGTCTTTCTAAGGGTAAAGTTTTATACATTTCTTGGTACCATTGTGTAACAATGGGAGGCCTGTCACTTATCCATTGCTTTCAAATACATCTCCTAGCCAGAAGCAGAAGTTTGTCACAGAGTCTGAAATCAGATCTGCACAGAGACAATGTTTCTGAAGGTAGGCCCAATATGAAGACCTGAATCCTTTGTAAATTTAAGTGAGAAAATTTTCCCCAATTCTTGGGCTACATGACTCCAAAGCCTTGAAATCAAAGGACACTCCCAGAAACAGTGGATGTATGTTCCGACAGTCCGTTTGCATTTAATGCAGAGAGGAGAGGACTTGTTGTCGATCTTATTAAGAATGGATGGTGTTATATGTGATCTGTGCGGTATCTTATATTGGGTTTCTCTCATTCGATTACAGATGAATGTGGTGTTGGCAGTGGCTATTGCTTCATGCCAATCATCTTCTATATATTGCCCACCAAGATCAAGTTCCCACTTTTGTATAACCGTACTGATATCTGACGGATCTATAGAGTACAGCATCGAGTAAGAATGAGAAAGAAAATGTCTTGTGTCCTTTCGGTTCAATAAAAATAATTCTACATCGTTAGAAATGGGAGTGTCTGCGGGGAGATTTCCCTACATGCCTTTGATAAATTATTTGGAGTACCTGCACGAGCATATTCAGCTACAACCTATTCTAGCCTCGCAAGTAGAGACTAGCTGAAGAGCAGTCACACCAAACACTGTTGTACTCNCACCCCTTCACCATGGTGTTATTTGCATGGTTATCTTCAAGTACAACCTTTTAATGAGGAATGGTGTTTTTGATAGTGTGCATCCAAATCAGCAGGACACTAACCACTATCTTTTGTAAACAGCCATACTAAATTTGGTATTGTCCACATACCATATCCATGCAACACAGACTACCTGTACAAGAGGGGACAGAGCAGGCTGTACTTCCTGAGGAGGCTCTAGTCATTTAACATCTGCAGGAAACTCCTGCGGATGATCTGCCAGTCGGCGTTCGCCAGCATCCTTTTTTACACCGTGGTGTGCTGGAGCAGCAGCACATCAAAGAGGGACGCATCGAGGCTGGACAAATTAATCAGGCGGGTCAGCTCTACAGTGGGCATGAAACTGGACTCCCTGGTGACGGTGGCAGAGAGGAGGACACTGAACAAACTGCTGGCCAGCATGGACGATGCCAGCCACCCTCTGCACACTGTCATCATCGCCCAGAGGAGCCAGTTCAGCAACAGGCTGCTCCTCCCCAGGTGCAAAACCAACAGGAACAAAAACTCCTTTGTCCCCCGAGCCATCAAACTGTTCAACTCTGAGCTCGGGGGGAGGGGGAGGAGCAGCAAGTGGGGAGAGGTAGGGGCGAGGGGTGAGGAGTGAGGAGTGAGGGGTGAGGACATTGGGGTGAGATAGAGCATCATGCTGCATCACCGGACTGTGTGCAATATTACTGTATCCAGTTTTGTTATGATTGTTATGATTGTTGTTATTGTTGCTATTGTTGTTGCTGATTTTGATTTGAATGCTGATTTTGATTTTTGAATGCCGTTGTTGTTGCTGATTTTATGTTGGTGTTGTGTTGTTTTTTTCTGGTGTAGCGATCAACAAAGTTTTATTCTAATTCTAATTCTAATTCTGATACAAGAGGGCTGTCTAAAATAACCAGGTTTAAAGTACAGATATAAAAAGGAAATCTGTGTGTATTTGATTTCCCTAATGCATCTGTAAAGTGTTGTCAAACCTTGAGGGTAAAGTATCATTTCCAGCAGCTGCTATTAGGAGACAATAAAGCCCAGCACAGGAAAACCATAAAAGGATAAGACTCTATTTGTCTGTTTTATGTGATATTATGGGGCTTGGAGCTGTTGGACACACACACTAAACCTTCTGTAAATGACAGATGCTGTTTTTTCCCCTCATACAGGTGAAGACAGCCACAAACAGGAGATGAGAAAAGCGAAAAGAAAGCAAAAAAACAAGTCTCTCTGGAACCACAGGTTCTTTGTCTCCAAGAATCCCCTCACCACATGGCACCACCCATACCAACTGTTAGTAATATGCCCTCCTGTTAGTGTATTTGCTGTTTACCTTTACTGTTGGCTTCTTTGCCCTCTGCAGGAAGGGCGGCAGTGTGATCGGGTTACGCCGCTTCTGCATCTGCATTGGCCGTTCTGCCTGCTGTGGCTCCTCTCCCTTGGTAAAGCAGAGAACCTGGGGGTCCAGGTGGTAATGCCGACTGTTAGGTTGGGCATAACTTGCCTGCAGTTGTGTGCAATGAGTTTCCATCCATCCTAATGTGTGGGCTGAGTTGTAGTCCACCGGCATTGAGCATT